AATCCTTTGTTGTCATTTCAACAGTGTTCACAGCATTTCATCTCAGGAAACCACTTTCTTTGTTCATGCATAAGAAGCAACTCCTCATTAGTTAGTTTTGTCACGAGATTACAGCAATTCAGTCACATCTTGAAACTCCATTTCTAATTCTAGTTCTCTTGCTGTTTCCACCACATCTGCAGTATCCTCAACTGAAATCTTGAACCCTTCAGTCATCCATGAGTATTGGAATCAACTTCTTCCAGACTTCAGTTGCTGTTGCTGTTTTGATATTCTCCCATAAATCACGAATGTTCTGATGACATCTAGAGTGGTGAATGCTTTCTAGAAAGTCTTCAATTTATTTTGCCTGGATCAGAAGAATCACTATCTATGGCAGCTATAGCCTTGCAAAATGTATTTCTTAAATAATTAAAACTTGAAAGTCAAAATGACTCCTTGATCTATGGACTGCAGAGTGGATATTGTGTTAGCAGGCATGAAAACAGCATTCATCATCTTATACCTCTCCATTAGAGCTCTTGGGGGATCAGGTACATTGTCAGTGAGTGGTAATGTTTTGAAAGGGATATTTTTTACTGAGCAGTATGTCTCAACAGTGGGCTTGAAATATTCAGTAAACCATGCTGTAAACAGATGTTCTGTCAGACTTTGTTGCTCTGTTTATAGAACACAGGCAGTGCAGATTTAGCATAAGTCTTAAGGGCCCTAGGATTTTCAGAATGGTGAGCATTGGCTTCAACTTAAAGTCACTAGTTGCTTTAGCCCCAATGAAGGAGTCAGCCTGTCCTTTGAAACTTTGTGGGCAAGTATTGACTTCTCCTCTCTAGCTATGAAAGTCCTAGATGACATCTTCTAATAAAAGGCTCTTTCATCTATGCTGAAAATCTGTTGTTCAGCCACCTTCATCGGTAGTCTTAGCACTAGATCTTCTGGATAACTTGCTGCAGCTTCTACATCAGTCTTGCTGCTTCACCTTGCACTTTTATGTTATGAAAGCAGCTTCTTTCCTTACACCTCACGAACTAACCTCTGCTAGCTTCGAACTTTTCTTCTGCAGCCTCTTCACCTCTCTCAGCCTTCACAGAATTGAAGAGAGTTAGGGCCTTGCTCTGGATTAGGCTTTTGCTTAGGGAGTGTTGTGGCTGGTTTGATCTTCTATCCGGTTTGATCTTCTATCGGGACCACTAAAATTTCTCCATATCAGTAATAAGGCTGTTTTGCCTTCTTGTCATTTGTGTAATCGGGAGTAGCTTTTTTTTTTTTTGGTGACCAGTAAGGGGATTGTAACCCTTGGCTTGGTGTCATCCGCACTGCGCTCAGCCAGTGAGCACACCGGCCATCCCTATATAGGATCCAAACCCACAGCCTCGGCACTCCCAGCACCGCACTCTCCCGAGTGAGCCACAGGGCCAGCCCGGGAATAGCATTTTTATTTATTTATTTATTGGCAGCTGGCCTGTTCAGGGATCCGAACTGTTGACCTTGGTGTTATAACACCACGTTCTAACCAGTCAAGCTAACCAGATATCCCTGGAGTAGCACTTTTAATGTCCTTCAAGAACTTTTCCTTTGCATTCAACTGTTTGGCACAAAGAAGCTTAGCTTTTAGCCTGTCTCAGCTTTCAACAGGCCTTCCTCACTAAGCTTAGTCATTTCTAGCTTTTGATTTAAAGTGAGAGACATGATTCTTCCTTTCACTTGGACACTTGGAGGTGATTGTAGGGTTATTAATTGGCCTACTTTCAGTGTTATTTTGTGTAATGGAATAGAGTGGCCCAAGGATGGGGAGAGATGGGGATAACTGGTCAGTGGAACAATCAGAATATATACATTTATCGATTAAGTTTGCTGTCTTCTGTGCATATGTTAATGGCACCCCAAAATATTTACAATAGTTCAAATACAAAGATCACTGATCACAGATCATCATAACAGAAATAATAATAATGAAAAAGTTTGAAATATTGCAAGAATTACCAGAATGTGACACAGACAAACTGAGCACATGCTGTTGGAAAAATGGTGCCAGTAGGCTTGCTCAACATAGGGTTGCCACAAACCTTCAATTTGTAAAAAGAAAACAAAACCATTATCTGCAAAGCACAGTAATACAGAGTACAATAAAACAGGGTGTGCCTGTATTATTTTCAACAGCGCCCTGGGGCAAAAATTTCTCCACAATCTGATCTAGTTACTTTGGGGCAGGTATAAGCTTAGATGCCAGTCACTGAGGTGTATTTAGAATCCAGGAGGACTCTTCTTAGCTGTCTCTTTCCCTTGTCCTATTTGATAAACTTGTTGGCTTATGTTCAGCTTGTTGCTCTTAATTAAGAGGCGCTGGTTTTAGGAGTGCCCTTAGGCTCGAACTTCCCCATACTATGTTCAAATAAAGTCAGATCCTTTGGGGTAAGCTTTAGAGCTCTCTCTCTTATGGACTGCCTCTCCTCATGGGCAAAATCTCTGAGCCAGTATTCTGGGTAGGTGCTCAGCTGCAGAGGGAGCCTCTGATCATCTTAGCTTGCCTCTCCCAGTGCAGATCCTTTGCTCCACTAATGAGCTGGGGTGAGGGAGATTGCAGTTCAGGGGTATGCAGTGCGGCTCTGATAGAGCCTCTATAGTGTGAGCAGAAGCTGGGTGGAGAAAGGGAGAAAACTCTCGGCCCACTCACTAGGAGGGATCCCTGTATCCTTGGCTGTACCCATTAGGAATGAAGTTTCCATCAGGCTGAGCTAGGGATGGGGAAGGGAGGGAGGAGATAGTGGCTCAGATGCCACAGATTCTCCCCATTAGATTTTCTTGAATAAATTTTTTTTCATTTGTTGTATGCCCCAGGACAATTTCCAGAGACTTTAAATGATTGGCTTTTTTTATAGTTTTAATTAGTACCAGGGAGTGGGTATACAAGCTCATGATGCCATCCTGTACATCTGCTATGTCATTCTTTTAAAATTTTTAATTGTGGTAAAATACACATAACATAAAATTTATCATCTTAACCATTTTTAAGTATACAGTTCAGTAGTGTTAAGTATATTCACTTTGTCCTGCAGCCAATCTCCAGAACTTTTTCATCTTGCAAAACTGAAATTCTTTTTTTTTTTTTTTAAAAGATGACCGGTAAGGGGATCTTAACCCTTGACTTGGTGTTGTCAGCACCACGCTTTCCCAAGTGA